GAGGGAGGAGGGCTGGTGGTGGCAGGGATGGGGAGGGCTGCGGGGGACGGCGTGGAGCCAGAGCTGACAGCGGCCCCGGCCAAGCCTGGGAAAGGGGGGGGACACCCCCCCCCACCCCAGGAACATATTCCTAACGGAGAAGAGCAGTAATCCGAGCCCCTCGTCCTCCACCTGCCCTCTCTATATTTTCTTTCATCCAAGGTGGCCCTGCATGGGAGTGGGTCGGAAAGTCGAAGCATCCGATACAAGGAAAGTCTCGGCGCCGCTGTCCATCTCTGCGTCACATCGGCCCGGCTCAGGTCTCAGGCGCTCATCGTGTTGCACTCGGCAGCGGGCTGACGCCCGGGCTGATCGCAGCCCCGGGGCGGGATGCCGGTGGATCCCTGGAAGCGGCAGGCCCCCCCTGCCCCGATCCTTAACCGGGGTCTGGGAGCCGCTGCTTCCTGGGACCAGCCCCCGGGGGACGCGACCCCAGTCTCCCTGGGGTGCAGGGGCTGCCTCAAGATGCCGGAGGAACCCTAGGAGCATCCTAGGGTGGCACCAGCTCTCCACCAACTGAGCCAGCGAGAGAAACCCCTTGTCCCTACCATAAACAGAAAACAGCAGAGCTCAAGATAATCTGCATTTTAAGTGGGCAGGCAGCAAAAGAAAAGGGAAAAAACCCTTTTGTGGGACAAGTCCCTTTGCAAAGCTGCAGCACAATGAGCAGGGGAATGTTGTAAGGGCCCTGAGGGCATTAATAAACCCTAATGGTCCTGACCAGCCCCACCTGGGACCCCCCCGCCACACCCTGCCCGTGGCCCAGAAGCTCTATTTAAGCTCAGCCCAGGGCATTTAGTCTTAGTTTAAGCCACGTTGTAGCTGGTCTCTGACTCAGCTACAGCCATCCTTATGCCTGGTCCCTGCTGCTCTGGACCTCAACCCATGGGACCCCGACCTGCAGACTGACTTCACGGCTTGGCTTTGAACCTGTCTGCTTGCTGTGAACTTGGTGGTTGATCTGGGCTCTTGGTTGAACCTGACCATCCTCCTCAGCCTGTCCTGCCCAGGTAGTGTGGGACGGGTACTGGGCAGCAAGGCTCTTGCCCAACCTTGTGTCATCCCCCTGGCTCCCCAGACATCCCCCGTGAGCAAGGGGAGCATGCGTTCATTTAATTTCTGAATATCTCTTCTTGTAAAGCTTACAGGTGGATGGAAACGTGGTGGTGCTGTGGGCAAGGAACGGCTCTGCAGTTGGCCGTCCCCAAAGTCTCAGTGAGATGGGAAGGTGTTGGGGGACCCGGGGCAGGCAAAGAAGCAGGTAGGGAGCAAATCCGGATCGGAGAAAGCTCAAGAGACAAGAAATAAGGATGGTAAAATCGGGACTGAGTTGAATCTGCCGAGAAATCCTCCCCAGGGAGCAGGGCCGGGGTTTGCGGCCAGCTCCAAACCCCGCGGGGTGCTCAGCGCCCGCAGGGTACGCGGATGCCTGCAGGCAGAGCCGGCGCAGCGCTGCAAGGCTCAGAGCACCCCCGTGAGGTCTCGCACGTGGGTGAGCGGCGACGCTTGGCGAGGGCGGGGACCCACAACCACGTCCCCTTCTCCCCGTGCTGGTCGTGTTCCTGCCCCTTGCTCTCCTGCTGTTGGGCTGGAGCTGGCTGCACCGGGGTCCCGCTCTCCGCGGGGATCGGCGGCTCAGGGTCCAAGACCCGGCAGGCGCTTAGAGTGGACAGCTGGGCCTTCAGATATGGGGTCATCTGTGGCAGGCTTATTTTCCTGCTTCCCTCTATTTTGCCATCTGTGGAATAGGTGTTTTCTCTGTTTCTGCCAGGTTTCCTTCCCAGCATCCCCACAGAGCGACCCTGTTCCTCTGCCAAGGGTGTTTGGCGACCAGGGCTCGCTGGTGTAGAGAGAGATTTAGCTGCTTCCCTCCCTGCTCTTCACACCTTCCCGTGGTGGGACGTTGTCCTCGCCGATCCTCCGTGTCCAATAAAGCACGACAGTGTGCCAGTGCTCGAGGCTGGAGCTCGGGAAGGGAGGACGATTTAGTTGTCAAATAAAGCCGGTTTCGTGACGCTGCACCGACGCGCTCACAAGCACCGAGGCGGGAGGTCCCCGTGGTCCGCAGAGGGCTCCTTGCGACGGCACCGAGGACGAGGGACACGGCCTGCCGGAGTCCTCCTCATGTTGCTTGGAGTCCTCAGGCTGATGTGGGATTTATGTCCCCTTTAGGGAGCTTTTTGTCCCTGTCCCAGCCCGCCTTTGAGTCAATCCAGTCCCCTCCCCTGCCCTTTGCCTCCCAACCTTGTCATCGCTGGCGAAAGCCATCAGCGTGTCCCCTTGCCCTTCGTGCAAGCCATTAATTAATCACCCCGGGGAGCGGCACTGGGTGTGAGGCAGACCACCGTCGGAACCCTGGCGGGGCGATGGGGACGGCGGCTTCACACCCGCCCGGGACGGCGGGGAAACCTCCTGCTCTCGGAAAAAGCGATGTGGGATTATTTTTCTTTTT